GCTAACCTTTTACTTGCCAACTCAATTAATATTTCTTATTACATTAAAAAAACATTTTAATTTTTTTTTTAAGACATTTATTTGCTTTGTGTTCTCAGTTATGTTGGTCACCACAGCTGTGTGTTTGTTTGGGGCCAAAGGTCACCTAGACTATGACATGAAGGTGGTCACAGATGACACCAACCTAACTGTGTCTATCTACGGCTGGAGCTTCTGGGTGGCAGTGGGCGCCGCAGGGATGGCCTTAATTTCCAGCTTCCTGTACCTTTGTGTTGGGCGTCAGGATGAATATGTTTAGTCCATATGTTCTTCCGTGTTCTTGTCTGTATTAATATAAAATTATTTGTACACACATTAGAGAACTTGTATAGATTTTGTTTATATATTTATAAATATACATGACATTTCTGTTAATAAAATGAAAACAAACTTTTCTCCTTTCCTACACTTAAAACTATTTCTGTTTTATATGGTACAAAATGTTTCAGAGTGGGGCAGTGAGAGGGAATATGTCACATATAAAATATGCTGGCTATCTCCCTCCATCTTTATTAACATCCCCTGAACAAGTCATTTCTATTTTAGTATAAGCCTCACTCTACACCATCAAGTTTAGTTTTTAAAGAGTCAGTGAAAGATGTGAATTTATTGGTATGCACATCCTGCAACAGTAATACTTTTATAATAGCCCATGGGGAGGTAAAAGTTTTAGTGCGGTGTTTTCCCATTGAGGGGAAGTAACTGTTAATGATGGCGGTTACTTATTGTAACAACATTATTTAAGTTGGAACTCTTTGTAAATGTTATACCTGGGTAGGATGATTTTGTAAACCAACGCAGGCACATAGGCCTAGAAGTTGTACGAGTTAAAGAAATGTACTGTGTACTGATTATTTGGAGTTGATGTGCATAAATAACCTATGAAGCAGAGGTGGTCAGGGAATCTTCAATTATCAGGAACAAATTGTTATTCATTCACCAGCCCATGCTTGTTACAATCATCCTCATCATTATCTCTGCCTGTGGTCTCATCAGGGGCATAGGCCACCAACCAGCTTCCTCCAGGCATCTTGGTTCTGCTGTAAACTAAAATGTTTTGAAATATATATGCGTGCATAACATGTATGTTTTACATTATCAATCACTTGATACAAGGCACATATGATCTGATAGAAAAAACATTATTGAAAAACACATTGCTCCCAGCTATTTTTTTGTATTCAATTTTACTGTGGGGCTGTAGTTTGTCATTATGCAGGGAGAAACTGCACCTCTCTATCACATTCTGGGGCTGTATTTTTCTTTTCAAAATGCAGAGAGAAACCTTTATCCTCTCTATCACACTGTCGGGCTGTAGTTTGTCAACATGCAGAGATATCACACCTTCCCACCACACTAGAGATTTTTGTCATTACTTTAATGAGGGACCACTCTATCTAAAGGCTAGCAGCTACTAAAATGAATTCTACTGTACACATTATATGCAGCTGTTGTTTTTTTCACCATTGATATTGCTTAATGCTGTATCTCACACATTTGATTTTTAAGGTTGATGTCAAATTTTAGGAAGTTGATTTAGTTGAAATGTTGCAATAGAATTTTTATGGTTTGGTTTAAACTTCATGTATCTTATTTTAGTCAGCATATGTTTCATATTCAATTATGAGGATTCAGTCAAGAAAGTTTATTATCAATTATTGTTTGTTCTGCTCAGACCAAGGAGTAGACAATATGTAAAGATTTGATAACAACACAAGGTATTGTTTGTTACACGTTGTTTTTTTGTTTTTTTTTAGATCCTAATGTGTCTTAAAGAAATGATTTATTTTTATTTTGTATGTTTTAAAGAATTCATACTCTGGGCTATCTGTGACATAATGCTGAGTCTTTAGCTACTGTGAATGAAAGTTTGTATTTTTGTGTACTTGTACTATGTCTATCATTCCGATCACAAATAATGCCCAGGCTTTGATCTCGTTTCTATAAAATGAACCACGTTCAAATACTGAAGGAGGCCAACATTCAACATGTCCAACTAAACATGACATAGCATTAATTTTTATTATAAGCTATTGCGTTACAGTGCTTACTATTAACATTATAATTAGCATTGTATTTCTACCTATTGGTGCTGGCCATCAGTTGATCAATAAATTAATAAGACGTGTAATGATTTGGTGTCAGATAGTTTAACATTCAAATTGTGGCATATATATTTAAAAAAAAAAACTCAAATGTATTGGACTTTGAACTTAAGGCTCAAAGTTTCTAGGTAATAATAATCTTTTTGTTTTATATTATTCCCAAATGTTTGTCCTAAATACAGACTTTTTTACCTGAGTGAATTACACATGAGATTACTCCTGAGATTTGTGTACTAGTCAAGGCTGTTTGTGATGGTTTGTCATTACTACTACAATACATGTACATCTACACTTTGGGAATGCCATTTTGATTGAGACATCAAAAAAAATTAAGAGAGGATTGAATGGATGCTGTTTAGTCAATACAAGGTTTAGACTTGATAAGTTTCATATGCTATTGGAGATAGGGGACCCAATGTAATAAACATAATTCATTTTTTCCTTTGATCTTTCTTCAAAATGATTGACAATATTCCTAGAACTATTTTTGAGGGGCCCTCAAGCGAGCAGTTTCCCTTAGCTAATGTGGCCCAAAGGTCACTTCAACATCACCTTTCTCATACTCTGTTGTAGCGTTGGGGCACCACACAAGAACTGTCTTTCTCCATTCTTCTCTGTCCTTTGCCTTGGATAGAAATTCATTCATTTACAGGCCTGTCCATTCTATGATGCTGTCTTCCAATCGCTTTCTCTATCTTCCTATTCTTCTTCTTCCTGGTACTGTTCCCTGAAGGAAGGTCTTTGTGAGCCCTGAGGACATTGGGATGTGAGTTGGAGTTTTCATCCTGTTTATCTCTTCATTCTTGATGTGGTCTTTGTGACCCCTAAAATGTTTCTGTTGCATCCTAGTTCCACTGCTAGGATGGTCTGTAGGTAAATCAGTTAAAATCCAGTACAGTTTGTTCCATTGAAGTCTGAATCTAATTTTTGTGCATGTGTGTTTGAGAGTGTTTTATATCTTGCCTTGGTTGACTGAGTTGTTGAGCTGTAGGATGAAGTTGAATGTGCTGCTTGGTCAATGAGTTTGTACTGCATGCCCCACAGCTTGTTGTCTTTACACAGCCTCTTCACACGTTCTCCTCTTGTGGAAGTTTGAGCTTGTTGGGTTGACAGGATTTCTTTATGTTTGAAGAATGACAGCCTACAATGGGATGCCAAGAGAAACCTGAACGCTATCTCTGATATTACTTGTATGTTTTGTGGACTAATGATATTGTTTAGGCTTTTCTGTTTAATCCTGTATGTTCGAATGACTTGACGCCTTGATGAATTGGCAGCATGGAGTTTTTCACTTTCTAGGATGTTGCTGTGTACCTATGGACTTTGTCTCTTCATGGTTGGAAAACAACACAACATACCAATGCTTTTAACTACAATAAAAAGATGCATTGGCAGCAGATGAGTTGGCAGCTTTAGTGAGCATTCACATTGTCTCTGTACTGTTTATCTCACAGCTAAGTGATTTAGTTCCATAAGTTTCCTTGTGTGGACTTTGATGTGCTGAAACTTCAAAACATTATTAATATATATATATATTTTTTTTGGTTTCATTTATCACTGTCACAAGTGTCATATGTAAATACTGAACTTTAAAGTTATTAGATAATTACAACTTTTGTTACAAAATTTTAGAGATGGATAGGACATCTTTCAAATGTACATCTATATTGTATTTATTTTTTGTTGTAATATTTAAACTCTTTGTCAATAAATTTGTTAAAAACAAAACAAAAGCAATTTTAAAATAAAGTTTGACTTAAATGACTGAAATATTCATATATTTAAATAACTTATTTTGTTGTACATACACCTTTTAAAACTGTATATATTTATATTTTGTACATGTATTTATTGTCCAGAAATGTTATTCTACAATTCTAATCTTTAACTGTCTTCTAAAACTCCAGATATTTATCTGAAGGTCTAAACACCCAAATCTTTTTTTTTTTCCTCTGCATGGAAACTTCGAATAAGTAAAAAGCCTTAGATGAGGCAAATTTTTTTTGGTCATTGTGCTGGCCACACAATACTTATGTAAGCTGTTGACTGCATATATATAGGTGAGCATCTGCGCTATGGACCTGTCAAAGTTTTTATTAGATTTTTACTTGATACACAGAATCCTTGCTCTATTGTATATCTGTCTATAATTTTGAAAGGATGCTTGGTCAATATATGTCATCCTCTAGGTGGTCAAGGGATTAGTTCCCCAGACCACCATGGTACAGATGTAGGTTCCAATGTCTACTTCCATAGATCACATTCCCCTTCTTCAATAAGCTATTACTTTACTGAGCATAAAAAGGATAAAAAAAAAAGCCTTAAAGCCATTAAGACAAAATGTAATTTATTTTTGCTTATGCATTATTCTTATGCGCACCTTTATTAGAACAAAAACTTGTGCTACTAAATAAGAATAATTGCAATGTTCTATATTATTACTAATTCTCAAACACCACCTTTTTAGTGCTCATGTGTACCATATCACTTTGACTCTGTGAGAACTGAGAAGTAATTGATTATATTCAAGTTATTTATGAAGTCTTTTAGCTGATCTGATACTTTCAAGTCAATCTGTTATTTCTTGTGTGTAATTTATGTACTGTGAGAATGAGTCATGTTGTTAATTTCCCTCTAATCCAAGTCAGAACCCAAAGTTGATTTAACAAGAGTAGATTACTATTTAAAAAAAAACGCCTAGAATAGTGTGGTCTTGATCACTTGATGATATGATGCCTTTTGTCAGATTGGCTTGCAAGCTTGTTATTTGTTTCATTTGAATGTAATGAGATTTAGTCTAGAAGACTCATAGACTGAACTCCTACCGAAATGTTTATGTACATTGACATCTATATATATATATATATATATATATATATAATAGTAAGTAAATACATTGGTAATGGGTGTCCACTTATAATAATGTATGGCTCATGTGATGAGCCAACTACCTTTTGATAACAACTCCATACTTATATAAATCATCATGACTGTTTCCTCATTGTTTTGATATTGTTCCCTTCTGTATGTTTGTCCAAGTCTATTTTTGTATTTCACTTATTACACTTGTTTTGTTCAACACAGTTATGAAGATTGTTATTATTTATTTTAATTGTATGTGTGCTGGTAAGAATATTTTTAATGTAATGTCAACATTTTAATCAAGTTTCATCATAAACCACAGTGTTTTTATAAAGGAGCCAAAATAACATTGCCTTGCCTGGAAAATCTGTTTTTAAAAAACTTACACACTTAGATCCCTCCATGGAAGTCAATCGCCAGTTCTGTCAGCAGCCTCTTCTCAAATTGTGTCCTGCTGTGCTAAATTATACAAACATGTCCCGCTTGTGCTTTCCATGCTTAGGCCGTTAGTGCGTTAGATTATTTTTGTTTGATGCTGTTTCTGTCGCAAATGAAGTTTTATTGGAAGGAGTCGCAGATGATGTTAAGGTCATCTGTTTCTACGGCCCACGGTCAACGAGGGTGTCATGTGGAACAACAACCAACTGCTTTTTCTTTTCCCCAACTAATTTCAGGTACACATTAGAGCTGGATGGACTTCCTAAGGATCCCAAAATTAGAAATCCCAGTCCTTTTGGAAGCCAAGCTTTTCACCACTCAGCCACTGAGCCCGCCTCCCTGTATGTTTTTACCTTCTTTTTTGTGTGTGTGTGTGCTAGTCTGACTAAACATCTTCTGCCATGCTTGAAAACAAGGAAAAAAGACTGATTTGGATGTCTATTTACATAGGATCCTAATGACAGCTATCAGTTGTTCTTTGCACCCAACAGTTGGAAACTATAGAGAATATCCGGAAAAATTGTGCATATATATATATGTGCTTGAGATTGATCACCATGTGATTTCATTTCAATGTTAAATGGTTTAACTGCCATTACCAAGGCAAAAGACAGGAATGGAGAAAGACATGTCGAGCCCAAACTGTCCAACAAAGGGACAGATGATACTTATTGAGTAAATGAAAAAGACTAGAGAGCTGGTCTTGGAAGCATCTAACAATCCTAGTTTTACATGCAGTACTAGTAATGTAGCATTTTAAATCTATATGCTTTACAATTCTTCCACCCATCTTCCAAAGACAGTTCCAACCACACTCTACCAAACAGGAAACATTAAAGGACATTTTAAATTAATTCTTGAAAAGAAAAAAGTAACATCATAAGTTTAAGTTTTAGTTTATCACAGAAGCTTTCTTTATTCAGAATACCAGTTTACATTTTACAAGAGTCAGTGGCCAAACATTAGACCACAAAATGACTAACAATTCAAGAAATGTATAAAATACACAAACAATTGATTTCTTTTTTTACATTCCAGAAAGACTTGTGGATATGGCAAATATTAAATAAAAACTGAGACAAAGCCACAGAAATTAACAAAAAAAAAAAAAAAAAAATTCTTTTATGTAATTTAAAGCATGTGCCAAAGGCTGCAGAAAGAAAAATTTTTTTTAAATGTTGAACTAAGTTTGTTTGTTCTGAAATGTACATCATAGGTAATCACTTGTTTGTTTAAATCATCAGCACTGTGTATCTACCCCAGCGCTAGTCAATCCTGGAGTGTATTGAATTATCAGGAAATATCTTATTTTTCCATTCAATAGCAAATCTACATTTAGTCCCAAGCTGAAGGTTTAGGAAACAAAAACATTCACACAAACATATTGGACAGTTATGTCTATTGGTCTGGAATACACACAATTGTTAGGAGCACCTAGAGTCATGCCCCTTATATCTAGTTTTGTATGGTAAGAAATACATGGACACATTTTGATATTTGGCACAAAAATAATTTTGGCATGAATGAATGTAATTAAGAAACATGTCATATTAATGCATTATATCTGCCTCAATATGAAAGTCTGGTGAAGATAGGAAACAATGTGCACAGAAGAAAACATTTGGTATAAAACATTCACACTAAGAGAGAAAATAAACTCTATCACAATATCTTCTCTTCGTCTGAATCCAACAACAGTGTCACATTATTTGCAGTGGTATCAACTATTTCCTTGGTACCATTGGACCATCTGTAGGAAGTAGGAGCAGGGATGTCTGCTACTTTAGGAAACATATGCATAGATTTGATATAAGACATACAAGTCACTTGTATAGGCAATGGACTGACATTGAAATGTACAATTATAATTATAGAATTATTTTTTTTACAAATATTATGTTTCTAATTTAATAAATTAATGGCTACTTTAAATACAATACAAAAATATAAATAGCTTTTATATCACTGTAATATTTAAATATATGTAGCATCACTTTATAGTTCAATATCAGATAAAACCATAGTCAATAAATGATCTAAATGATATTAGAAATAGATCATGAATGTGAGGATGCCCAGAGACATCTAACATATCAAAGAAAGGCAAACATTTTAAAATTCACTATAGACTAATGATAACATATGTTTTAAGCTATCAACAGCTATTTGCTTGTTTCATAAGCTGTTATACATGAAAACCTAAAACTTAATGGCCAATAAACCCAGGATGGAAAACTGTAGACAAACAGCTGTAAAGATTTTGAGTCAAGTATGTTCCCATTGAAAATGTTGTCTGAATTAATAGAGACTTGACAATGTTTTAAGCTGCTGATGTGTTGGCTGTAGCCCCATCCAAGTGTGCAGTCGTGGGTGGTGGGCTAACCTTGCCCTCGTCAGAACCATTCTCTGTTAATATTTTTTCATCTTCTTTTGTACTTTTGGGTTTTCTTTTCCTTCTTGATCTTCTTTTTCTTTCACTGGGGATGAAGTGAAACTCTCTCTTAGTGTCTTTAAAAATGTAAATGCAGAGCTTGTTTAACTTAAGGCACTAAAAACAAGCAGAAGCTTAGTCAGTCAGTCAGAAAAGTTACTAAATATCAGATGCTAAATTTGAATTCCAACTCAGCCAATAAAGATTTATTCAAAGAAAATAGAATGGAATGGGTTGCCTGAATCAGCCAGGAAAACCAATGACTTATCAGAGTGTAAGTCGCTGATTAACATGCATGACTGGATTGACACATGAAATGCATGGGATGTAATTATCTTCTCTTTTGAAGTTGTGTCTGTAATGTATTTGATAAGATTTTCTTGGCCTGTCTCTGTACTACTACAGGAGTAGTGGAAGGCATACATAGACCTACTCAACACACATTCAGCTCCTGATGGTGGCGGCATTAAAACAAATATAAATTATTACTGATTCTGTGGTCAGAGACGATGCTGAAATTTTCCGATTCTAATGTGTGTGTGTCTCTGCACTCATGAGCATTAATTAACCTTCATCAAAGATAAAGATAGGACAATTGAAAAAAAAACTCTTTAAAGTATATGCCAAAGATTAAATATATATATAGATATTTTCTACAAGAGAACATTTGCACTTTGTCATATATGTATGTGCATATGTGGCAATGAAAATATCAGTTCGGCAGAATTTAAGTAATTGGTTAATATGCATGACTGAATGCATGAATTTAAGTAATTGGTTAATATGCATGACTGAATGCATGACGCGTAGGACATAATCATCTTTTTTTTGAAGTAACATCTGTATTTTATAAGATAAAAAGATAAGATTGGTTTAACGTGTGCAATTAGTCATTATATCTGTAAAGTCAATGCAAATATACAACAATCGTTACCCATAAAACTTTGCTGTAGCAGCCTCAGCAGCAGGGTCAATTGGAGGAAGGTAGTGTGGTCTAGCCCCTGTTCTCTCTGGGACAGAGCTAGAAAAAAAAAAAAGGAAACATGATTTACTTCATAAATATCATAAATTTTAAATGAATGTACATGCTATTTGTACACACTTTTGATTTCATGGCACTAATAGACACTTGTGATTTCATGGTACTTATCCAAACTTGTGATTTTATGGTACTTATCCACACTTGTGATTTCATGGTATTTATCCACACTTGTGGTTTCATGGCACTTATCCACACTTGTGATTTCATGGCACTTATCCACACTTGTGATTTTATGGCACTTATCCACACTTGTGATTTTATGGCACTTATCCAAACTTGTGATTTCATGACACTTATCCACACTTGTGATTTCATGGTACTTATCCACACTTGTGATTTCATGGCACTTATCCACACTTATGATTTCATGGCACTTGTTCACACTTGTGATTTATACCCTAATTTTTTATTTCATGTGATGATTATTTAATTAAGCACTATATATTGTGAAGCTATGTACAAATTGGTTTAATGAAATTAAAGGCTGCCAGTCTAGTATCAAATCATACTTCTAGGTTAAGAAGCCTCTCTGGTCATTTAGTTGGCTGGTACTGCAGAAATTATTGGATGCATTTAATTTCCAACTGTTTTTTTTAAATAGGAATATATTGAAATATTAAAAGTTCACTTACATAATCCAACTGCCAGCAGCTAATGGATCAACAGGTTTAGACGCTGGTTCACTTAAACTAGTAAGCAAGAAAGGGATTTAAAACAAGAATTAAATTTCAGAGACATATAGGATTTAAAACAAGAATAACAAGCAGAAATCTCAGGTCCAACTAAAGTGAGGAAAATAATAATTTAGAATAATTGATAAAACAAAATCCAACTTCCAGTTTAGGATATAATAATAATAATAATAATAATAATTAGGCTTGTCTTCAAGTCTGAAGATTAATGAGGAATCCAGTTGAAAAGGCTTTCATCCCTTAAGTTTTGAGGGCAATAGCACAGCAAGATGAGATATTGGGCACACTGCAGGGCCAGCCTTAGGCATAGGTAAACTAAGCAGCTGCCTAGGATCTTTAATGGCAGGGGCAGCCTATGCAGTGCACGTTTATGAAAATTAAATACTGCGAAAATCTGACCTTAATGTGCGGTCATAGAACATATCAACAGCGAAAGTCAAGAAAACACTGTTTATTTGTTTATTAATTTTCATTTTTAAAAAATCAATTTTTCAAAAGTTGCATTTATGTTACTGCAAATGTTATAAATGATTATTTCATATACGATGTTCATAACTCAAAGAGTAGTTCAAATTTTATCAATATGCATTTTCCTAATAAAATCCGTTTGGACGTTGATGTTCAAATATGAAATAAACTATTTGGATTGGTTGCTTCCAACTACATGTTTTTATTGTGAAGTGTTAAACGATAATAGCCTCTTACAATTGGCAGGTCATTAGATGCAGTCATTAACGAAACTGAACGGTATTTTGAAGAAACCAAAATTGTATGTTAAGAGCCTGAATTGTAATTGGTATCGTAAAGATACTGGAAAAATATAGAATAACAAGTCCTATTTTATGAAAACTGAGGTTGGTGATATCTGATCGCGGGGCCCCCCTCAGGCGTGGGCCCTGGGGCGGTTGCCCCACTTGCCACCCCCTAAGGCTGCTACTGGGTGGGGGCCATACACTGGACTAAAAGCATTGCGAGACTTGTATCAAATCTCAAATATATTAGGGCACTAGGGCTCTAAGTCTTTTTGCCTAACTCTAAGTCTTACTATGACCCAATGTTTATTCATGAGTGTTTAAATCTGTTTATTTTAGAAGACATTTTTTTTTATGAACTTCACGTGGCTACGCAGCCCAAGTAGTTAATATAGCTAAATAATAGTTTTGGACCATTAATTTAAGATTGTCTATATAATATAGTTGCGTTATTAATTTAGAAAGTTAATGAAGTTGTACAAGAAAGATGATGCCTATTATAAGTAAGCTATCCTGACAAGATCAACGTCTAATTTTTCGACTCAGGACAGAACACAACAGAATGAGACAACATATGTACCGGAAGCTCAAAATTGGCACCAGTGAAATCTGCCCATGTGGAGTGTCACCAGAGAATGCTGACCCTGTCCTTCAAATCTGTTCTCTTTACCAAGAGGCCTGAATAAGACACTGGCCCCAAAACACCCCAATAGAAAGAAAACTATATGGAGAGCTCCCTGATTTGGAAACCACTGCACAGTTCGTCTCATATATTGGTCTAGTCATCTGAACGCTCCAACATAAAAATGTATTTAGGCCTCTCTTGATATCATGCTAAGAACAGCCGTTAAGCAGGAAATATGGAGGGACTTGGTTTGGTAACACAAACTGTCACAGCACCTCTATAACAAAAGTTAAGGGACAGAAGAGATGAAAAAGAAAAAAATCACTTACGGATTCTCTAATGGCGTGGGCTCAACTTTTTTACTCTTTGCACATTTCTGACAAGCACCTGGTGAATGTAGTTACAATTGTGTAACATTAACAAACAGTCTAAAACACTAAATGCTAGTACTGTACTTTTAAGTCTAGAATGTAAAACAGATTTTTTTTTTTTAAATGTAATTTACATTTTTTCTACATTGTAAATAATAACTTGTAAGATCCGAATTATTTTGGTAGAAATGTAATTACCTTGTAA